GTTATGCCGTAACACACATAAAAAAAAATAAAAAAAAAAATATACCGACGAATTGAATACCTCCTTCTTTTGGGAAGTCGGTCAAAAAATAGGACTGAAACGTACATTTTACGCTTCAGTCTACACTATGTCGTACATTTGGATCCATTAAACGAAAAATGATATATTTTAAGTGTGTAACTAGATGAAAAATTAACCTGTAGTTATATCTTGAATTTAAATAAACCAGTTCTTAATTGTCGATGTCATTCGGTTAGTCGTTAGTAATAATTTGGTTACAAACCCCTCAGTAGGGACGTATTAATTTGTCATTCGGAGTAACACTGCCTATATTTATCAGAATACGCTTATAATTTTAGTAATACGATTTTGATAATCTTCCTAAGTCTCATTCGTAAACTGGTTTTATTTGTACTTATTTGATATATTTTTTTAATTTCTACAATGAAGTATACGAAATAATTTTAATGTTCCTTCAATTTTAGTTTAGAATATTTTAAGCATCTCTAACTTATTAAATTAATCTTACTTAGATTGTAAATACGAAAATTTGGATAAATAGTTGTCAGTTCCCCTTCCAAATAGTTTGATCTCTCCTAATTCACGAATATAATGACAAATATAGACCATAGTCTGGAAGAATTTGGACAAAAAAGAAACCATTGGTTTCCAATTGCAGATCTGTACAATGACATTGTTGCCTCTGTTTTATCAAAGACTAGCTGTTCCCGTACAGCTTCATCCGCATGAAATTATAGAAACTTTATTTTATTGTTTACATTTGTCAAATTATCAATTGTTAACATCAAAATGACATGACATAACAAACCTTGGCAATCTTGCTTTCTTGATGTTGGCAGCAACTTATAGTCTCTTTCCCACATTAGGATTTGTATCCAAAATATTTATCCCCTAAGTTTATTGGTGTGAAAATATATAGCATAAAGCGTGACGTAAGTGTAGGGCTTATTATTAAAAAAAGGATTATTCAAATATATGCTGTAATTGCTGTCATCTTAGGCAACAAAGAAGTGTGTATTTACGCTTTATTATAATAGAATAAATAAATAAAAACAACAATATGTTTTTGAATTTCTTATGACTAGATACTAAGTGTTAAGATACGAAGTTCTAGCCTAGATTTGGTAGCAAACATAATAACTCTACCTCTCGTAAAGTTAATTCTAACTGCTGACATTCAGGAGATAACAATCGTATTAGTTTAATTGGTCGGATTACCTCAAATTGTTGACATATTAAAAAGATAAGAAGCGAAGGAAAATCCATACCTTTGTCATGTGTAATGCCACATCAAGGAAAAAATAAAACTAGTTCAAAATCTTATAAAATATCATTATGTATTTTTGATTGTTTTTTTTTTATAATATAAGGTGGCAAGACGAGCAAGCGGCCACCTAAATCCACCGAAATGGAACGCTTCCCATAAACATCCGCTATTGCAGATGTGTTGCCTACCTTAATAGGAGGAAATGACCGTTTGTGTGGCTCCTCCACCGTCAAATCCACATTTCCTTTCAATCCTATCCTCTTAAGAAAAGGGTAGAAAGGAAAAGGGACTAAAATTAGGCAGGAAAAGGGATTAAAACCGTTCAGTTCTAGGACATAGTCTGATGTTTTTTAGATGGCTGAAAACATTCATTGCATTTTCATTTTCAACATAATCTGATCAAGGTCTCATTAAAGAAAATCATAAATAGAGTAAAAACCCGACTAGATTTTGTTTTTTAATTAACTACTGCTATTATTCGATGTACGTAGAGTTTGTGATGCCGAAGCGTATAGACATTACACTGATTTGTGTCTTACCAAAGAAGCACAAAATACACTCCGTTTCTACTTTCCTGTAAGCATCCAAGTAGGTACTTTACTCAGTACATTGCTTGTTTGGTACTCGTGTCCGTGAGTGTTCTTTAACAAGAACAAGAACTCTATTGGTTCCTGGCATCGCATCAAAGTAATATTTGAACTATGTAAAATATTATTAGATCGACGCGTGAATCACTCTAAATAGGAAGTTACTGAATTCGTTACAGGAACGTAAATGTTTGTTTATATCATGGTATATTTTTGTAACCTTACTTTTAAAAGTATATGAGATTTTATTACTAACATTATTCATTCAAGAGTAACGATTTATAAATGTTACTGCAATGGTAATTTCGGAATCTAAGCGCATCTAAGAAAAAACTGATAGCAGTTTAAACACTAGTTCTAGTTTCTAACAGTGGTAGAGTCCTTTTTAACATCTTAGCACGATTGGGTCGGTTCGCCCGGTGTAATACCACGACCACACAGAAAATAGGTGTGAAGTGGAAGCAATTCCTCGTTTCGTCTGATGAGTGTGGTGGCGGAGGCCTAATTTTATTCCCTTTCCCTTTCCACCCTTTTCTTAAGAGAAAAGGATGAGAAGGAAAAGCGAATTTGATTGTCGAGGAGACGTATAGGAAGGGGAAATTTCCTCTTAATGTGCGTCTCCTCCTCCGTCAATTAAGGGTAGGCAACGCATCTGCAATTGTGGATGTTTATGGGCAGCGGTCGCTTTCCATTTCGGTGGA